GTTTTAATTATTTTCATATTAAAGAAGTACTTGGATTGTATAATTCTTACACATTCAAACTGTTGTGCTAAGTTTAGTTTTCATAGGTAGTAGGGATAGGCTACCACCATTGTGCGATATTATAAAAACATAAAAACGATTGAAATAATTATTGAATGGCATTCGTGTTGTGCACGCACCCTGAGGACTGACGAGAAGATCGTGGAGGACACGGTAATCCTCGAATCCGGCAACTTGCTCTATTACCGGGAGGGCGACCATCTGTCCCAAGGAGGTGTCGGATTTATCGTCCACAAGTCTCTCGTTAACAACGTTGTAAAGATTGAGAGTGTGTCGACGAGGGTTACGTACCTTATACTCAGAATCACCAAACGGTATTCGCTGAAGGTCATACAGGTTTACGCACCAACCTCGGCACACCCCGATCAGGAGGTGGGGGAAATGTATGAGGATATCTCTAGAGCCATGCATTCCTCCAAAACCCAATATACGGTGTTCATGGGAGACTTCAATGCAAAACTAGGTACAAGAGAGAATGGTGAGCTGAAAGTGGGGAAATTTGGAATAGGGCAACGGAACCCAAGGGGCCAGCAGTTGGCCGACTTCATGGAGAAAGAGGGACTCTTTATGATGAACTCTTTCTTCCAGAAGCGGCCCCACAGGAAGTGGACCTGGTCGAGCCCCGACGGTTCGACAAAAAATGAGATTGACTTCATTATGACGACCAGACGACAACTGTTCAGTGATGTCTCCGTGATCGCGAGGGTGAAAACTGGTAGCGATCACCGAATGGTTAGAGGCACACTGAACCTAAACGTTAAGTTGGAGAGGTCTCGTCTAATGAAGTCAACGCTCCGTCCCCCTCGTGCTCTGTTCCAAAGACCCGAAACCTTTCAGCTCGAGTTACAAAACCGTTTTCAGTGCCTAGAAGACTGCAATGAAGTGGACGATTTGAATGACAAGCTCGTGGAAACTGTCCATGCGGTCGGAGCTAAGTTCTGCAAGACCCGCTGCAGAAGAACACAAAAACTCTCCGATCACACTCTTAATCTCATGGCTGTTAGACGGGAGATGAAGCTACATTCTTCAAAAGATTTGACAGCATACAGGCAACTGAACAGACAGATCTCCAAATGCATGCGGCGGGACTTACAGCTCGTATTGAAGAAGCGATCGAGCGGAACCAAGGCTCCAAAGTCTTTGCCAGAGATCTGTCTGCCAGTAAGAGCCAACTATCAAAGCTGAAGACCGAATGTGGCAGCATCGTTTCCGGAGCACCTGAGATTTTGAGTGAGATTGAGAGGTTCTATGGGCAGCTGTACACGTCATCGTTGGAGCCACACGCAAGTGTGAGTAACGATCCAAGAGCGAGTCTTATCCGACATTATTCCGATGATATCCCGGACGTCAGTCTGAGCGAGATTAGAATGGCTCTCCAGCACCTTAAAAACGGCAAGGCCCCGGGCCAGGATGGAATTACAGCGGAGCTTCTGAAAGCGGGTGGAAAACCGGTACTTGAAGTCCTTTAGAAGCTCTTTAATTCCGTCCTCCATGGTGGCATTACACCAGAGGTGTGGAGCAGAAGTGCGGTGGTCTTGTTCTTCAAGAAAGGCGACAACGCTCTCTTGAAGAACTACAGACCGATTTCCCTTCTGAGCCGCGTCTACGTGCTGTTTTCGAGAGTCATTACGAATCGTCTCGCGCGCAGACTTGACGACTTCCAGCCTCCCGAACAAGCTGGTTTCTGAAAAGACTTTAGCCCCATAGACCACATACATACCCTTCAGCAAATTGTACAGAAGTCCGAGGAGTACAATTTGCCACTATTTCTGGCGTATGTGGACTATGAGAAAGCCTTTGATTCCGTCGAAATTTGGGCGGTGCTGCAGTCCCTTCAGCGATGCCAAGTTGACTGTCGGTATATCGAAGTGTTGAAGTGCTTGTACAGTAGGGCTACGATGGCTATCCGAGTACAGAACCAGAGTACGAAACCTATCCAATTGCAGAGAGGTGTAAGACAGGGTGACGTCATATCCCCGAAACTCTTTACCGCTGCATTGGAAGATGTTTTCAAGCTTCTGGACTGGAAAGGATACGGTATCAACATCAATGGCGAGTACATCACTCACCTTCGATTTGCCGACGATATAGTCCTTATGGCAGAATCTCTGGAGGACCTAAGCACCATGCTCAATGACCTCAATAGTGTTTCCCAACGGATAGGTCTTAAGATGAACATGGACAAAACAAAGATCATGTTTAATGTCCATGTCACACCTATGCCGGTAGCTGTTGGGAACACTAAGCTCGAAGTTGTTGACGAGTATGTTTACCTGGGACAAATAGTCCGACTAGGTATGTCCAACTTCGACCGAGAGGTCAATCGACGGATTCAACTCGGTTGGGCAGCGTTCGGGAAATTACGGCACATCTTCTCGTCAGGTATACCTCAAAACTTGAAAACGAGACTGTACACCCAGTGCGTGTTGCCAGTGATGACATACGGTACTGAGACGTGGTCCTTCACTGCTGGCCGGATGAGGAAGCTCAAGGTCGCTTAGCGAGCTATGGAGAGGGCTATGCTCGGAGTTTCTCTGCGTGATAGACTTAGGAATGAGGATATCCGCAGTAGAACCAGAGTAACCGACATAGCCCAACGGATTAGTAAGCTGAAGTGGCAGTGTGCCGGCCATATAGCTCGAAGAACCGACAACCGATGAGGAAGAAAGGTTCTCGAGTGGCAGCCTCGTACCGGTAGGCGAAGTGTAGGGCGTCCCCCCACTAGATGGAGTGACGACCTGGTAAGATATACAGGAAGTCGATGGATGCAGGTGGCTCGGGACCGTGCTTTGTGGCATTCTTTGGGGGAGGCCTATGTTCAGCAGTGGACTTGTGAAGGGCTGTAATGATGATGATGATGATTCGTGTTGTGAACACTAGTAAAGCAAGCAACAAGTAATCAAGTGTGTTATTACTCTTCCTGCGACTCCCGTAATACTATTTTTGAAAATGTAATCGTTTATTTATATAGTTTTTATTAAATTATATATATATATATATATATATATATATATATATATATATATGTATTAAGCTATAAATCGATGAATGATCCGCTTGTTGATTTATTTTACATTTACACCTTATTTATCCCATAAGACTTGTTATTTATCTTTCAACAAATAAATTTTTAACCTCTGAAATTTTCCGCATTATAATTTCTGATTTAGAAAAAAAAATAGTTTAAACGTTTATTAACTTGATTGTTTGAAACGACGCTTTTTTAAGTTTAAATCTATATTCCCTTTATGATTATAAATCATAATATCATGTAAGTGTGCTCCGACCATATATCTTGTTTGAAAAGTGTACCTAAACCAAACGGATTGGTCAATCCTTGTTAATTTCTCCATTTTATTTTAATTACTTTTGGCGCTTATTTTAAATTTATCCTATGCTACTTACTGCAGCGCCACCCTTATCGGACGCGTTTTTACGGACACTTTTCATATACAGAGATGATCCTCCTTCTACTCTATACTCCATAGTGGAAACGATGAACAAATGCTCCGAAGTTGATATGAATCTCAAGATAATGTGTCTGTTTAGGTGCCTTAGTTTAAATACTGTCGTCATCGATAGTCTACTGGGTCAAGCTGCCGTCAAAATGTCATAAAAACTTCGCAATGTGTAGCTTCAATATATTTTGAAGACGTTTTTAAACAAATTATTTTATAGGATATTTTTTTTATAACTTGACATTGACACTGACAAAAGTACAACAGTACGAGTACTACTCCATTACATATATAGACAAACAAATTGAAATTCCCTTATTCTTTTTTAATTTATAGCTCCGTTTGTTAAAATTCTGCCAATGTTTAATAATCTAATTAAGGGCAATGAAATGCTGCCACAGTAACCAAAAAAGTAAAACAGAATTAACGTTTAGATATTATTCATAATTATATATTTATGTATCTAACTTGTGAAATGGTAATCTAAAACAATGCGAAAAAAAGATATTCTTTTACTCGCTGGCAATCGAGATCCCGCTAAAACTCCTGTCAGAATAAACCAAACATTGTAGTCTTTGGAGTAAACTAAACATTGTAGGAATTGGCCAAAGAGAAAATAATCATAAATAGATTTGGCATTGGCTACAAGGTCTTCAGCTAAAAGGAACCCAACAAAAGCTGTGTTTTTCTTTTCTACGTAGTAGAGCCACGTTGCAGCTATATTGTAGTTGTAGTACGACTGAGTCGGCTCAACCGGGGTAGGACCACGTTCTCTCAGAATATCAGCTTAATGCTGCTGTGTTTGATATGGTGAGTATAGAGAACCGTAGATGTTTATGGACTACATTATTCACTTACTATCAGGTGGGCTGTTCACTTGTCACCTTTATTCTAGAAAAAAAAAATTAAATACTTATATCTAAGCTAAAATACATCGCATTGGTGAAACTACTTTTTTTATAGAATAAGGGGGACAAACAAGTACACAGTTCACCTAATGGTAAGTGGTTGCTGTGGCCCATAGACATCTACATCTATCTTCGATTACGAATTGATTACGAATCAAAATTCAGATGCGTTGTCACCCGTGAGGATTAAGATGGAATACCTCGTTTCCTGTAAAAAAGGGTCTTAAAAAATCGCATAGTAGAAACTACCTAATGTATATAGTAATATTTTTCACGCTGAATGGAGGATAAAATAATAAAATTTCAAATATTAAATCAAAGAGCAACACGAAACTAATTTATATACACTTTAAAAAATGGCAACATTGGATAATCGAACCAAAGAGAATAGATCTAACGACGTTTTTAGCGCGTGCGAGATGACGCGCCGGTGAATTTTTATTAAATAGATTTGACGTAATTTTTATTTCGTACGCTGATACTGAGGTGAAAAATGTTTATTTATATACACATCAACAAGTGATATTCTGAAAGAACGTGAAATAATTGTGTCGGTTTTCTTGCAGATACCACAATGGCCGATCAGGTAGATTCAATGTCAGATGCGGAACTCCGCACTAAACTAGCCGAGCATGGATTTCCGATTATGCCGATTACTGCTTCTACCAGAAAGTTGCTAGTAAAGAAACTTAAACTTGTCTTAGATAACAAAAGTAAACCACGGAACAGCGTTGATCCTAAAGTTGAGAGCAGACGGTCGCTAGCACGTTATTCTAGTGGCGAAGAGTCCGATTTAGACGCCGCCAATTTAAAAGAGAAACGGGGGAGGCGTGCTACAACTGGCGGGTCTATGTTACCACCTACGAGCAGTAAGACTCGTCGTTTGCCCGTTAAGAAAGATTCTCCTGTGAAACCTGACTCAGACAAAGGTTCTGAATCTGAGGAGGAAAAATCTCCTGTGTGCGTACGTGAAAAAGTTGAAACTGTTACCACGCGTCATATTACACGCACATACGCCAATGAACAAGATGAATATGAAACCGGGTCTGATAGTGATGTTGATAATGATAAAAAGACATCTAGTCCATTTAGAAGCAATTCTAGGTCCAGTGATTATATTTCTAGCACTTTATCGACCAATGACGCAGCCACTAGCCCTCCTAAATCCTCTCTATTCTCGCGACCGTCTATTTCACCTTCTAATTACACATCTCTGTCGTCATCAGATCATCTAAATTCAATAAGATCACGACTTGGGTTAACATCATCTTTAGCGGACAGACCATCTGTGAGTAATTACACTTCTAACTACACAAGTACTTACCAACCATCCACATCATCGGTAGATGAAGTAGAATCTCCATATTTAAGTAATTTCACTCGCAGACTCTCTTCTCTGAAGGCAGAACCTCTAAAACCTACCTCTTATTTGGACCGTGATATAAACAATGGTACTACAGTTCTACCACGCCGATCCTTTGTCACCAGTGTTTCAAGATCTGATGTAGTTGATTATAAATCAGCAAATGATAAAAAATTCTTGAAAAATAACCTCGTGTCACTAGCTCTTGTTGTGTTGGTTGCACTTTTTTTTTTTTGCTTATTCTTTATGTATCTAGTTAAAAAAAATGACATCACATCTGTGGTGGATGATCAAAACAGTGTAATACCAATATGTCAATTAAATATACCTGGAAATAGGCCTGGTATAAATTGTGTGCCAAGAGAGCATGTCAGTTATGCAAAAGATCTTCTGAAAGTCATACATCCAGAACTAACGTCTAGAATTGCTGCCTATAAATGTGGTAAGCCTGGAGCATTGCCATATCTGACAGAAAAAGAAATTATAGACTTTGCAAGTGCTAGAGCAGAGACAGTTGATATTAGTCAGTGTCGTACAGATCTGAACAATTTGCAAGTGTTAATTGTAAACAACCCTCGATGGGGCCTCTCTGTTGTTCAGTTGAAGAGTTCGTATACTAGAGACGTGGAGTACACACCTCTATCTTCCACTGACTCTGTTGTCCAACAACGTCATAAAGGGAGCGTAGCTATAACACTAACAGACCCATCTACCCCCTTATCTTGTTTGTTTGTTAATACTTTATACTCGGCTGGTTCAACTGTAGTTATAGTTGGACTTATGGGTATCATAGTACTTGGCTTGCAAAGATTTTACAAGTACTATGTAAGATATCAGAAAAAGAAAAGTGAGGAAATCTACTCTATGGTTGAACAAATTATTGATATTATCTCTCAAGAAACTGAAGACAGTGGGGAACCATATATATCAGTTGACCATGTGAGGGACACTTTGATATCCCCACAGAATAGAGAAAAAATGGCCTCAACTTGGGATGCTGCTGTTAAGTTCATTCAGAAAAATGAAAGCAGGGTGAGAATGGAGGTTCAGTCTGTCGATGGTGAGGATTGTAGGGTATGGAGGTGGATTTCTCCACATGGGAGCCCGAAACGTAGTGCTGCATGGCAAGGGCAGGCTTTTGAGACTCAGGAGGGTTCTGTAAACAATCTTACTGTGTCCCCCACTCCTTGTCTTAAAATTCGTCATATGTTTGACAAAAACGATAGTAACCCAAACCTAAGATCAGTCATTCAAGATGCAATTTTAGAAAAATGCGATGAGAAGTGCAACATTTTGCATATCGATATTGAAAGGGCATCCTGTTGTGTTTATGTCAAATGCGCAACACCAATTGATGCAGGCATCGTCTATAGGAGTTTACATGGCTGGTGGTACGAAGGCAGGCTTATTACAGTTAAATACTTGCGCTTAGAGAGATACATGCAAAGATTTCCAAATTCACCATCAGTTGGACCATTTTTAAAGCCTTCTCGTCCAAAGCGCTCCTGGGAGGAATGAATACATAAGTAGTGCATAAAAAGAACTTTGTTACAGAAATTGTATAATAGCAAGTTTTAGGCAAGGATTGTTATAATAGACTCGCTTCACAGGTTATTTATTGTGGATTTAACTTGCTTGTTCAAATTATTTGTAATAATTAATATTTCTTATGGTTAGTTTTAACTGTGTTAAGGTTCTTAAAGCTTATTCTTGTTATTTAGAATTAAAAAATAAACATGTAATAATGAAATTGAATGTGTCTAAAATTTTCATGATTTAGCCCAATATAATATAATTTTCAGTTGTTATTAAAATTTGATAAATAACTAGATAACTGTATGTAGTATGACTTATTTAAAGTAGACTTGATTTGCTCACATTACTTAAGAATTGTCCGTATTTCTTAACACAAGGTAAAATAATATCAGAGATATATATTACAAACCTTAATGTTAGATGTAAGACAACATAATAAAAATTGCCTTAATAGTAGAATTCAGCACTTGACATTTTGTAAATATTGTCATCACAAATTTTAATACCTTTTTTTTTTACTTTGACTAAGTTACTAAGAGTTTGAAAGGTGTTTGTTACTTGGATATACTGTTTTGTAACAATAATTTTTAAGTAAGATAAGTTTGAAAAGAAAATAGCTTTGTAAAATGTTTCAATTAATTTTCTATTTACTTTGACGTAACGTCATTCATTTCGTAATTTCGTAAGGTTGATATTAATTTTTATTTAAATACCTCTACCTAAATTCTATCATCTTTTAGTGTTATTTTTATGTATTGATTTTCACTTTTCAATAAATAAAAGCAGTAAATTACAGTCTTTTATTTGAAACTTTTATCTATGTTCTTAGATTTGAGAGCAATTTAAAATTTTGACCTATACTCTGATAAAGATATGAATAATTGTTAACAATAATATAGTGTATAATAATACTGTTTAATACAACGCTGACAATCTTATCTGGTACGGCGAAAGTAAACATTTTTATTCATAAAAGTATATAAAATTGGAGTGTCTGTCTGTAATATCGAAATAACTGGCTTTTTTTTAGCTAAGGGGTTGTTGGCACCAGTTAAGACATGGATAACACTTTTAAATTTTTAGTCTGTTTGTCCAAGCTAATCTTAATAGCTGAACCAATTGTGATGAAGCTTCACGAACCAATAGAGAGAAATGCCAGAAGTGATGTAGATTATATTTTATCTTATTGAGAACACTACTCTCGAAGTTGTTAACGAGTATGTGTACCTGGGACAAAATGTCCGATTAGATCCAACCTCAACCAAGAGGTCAGCCTACGAATCCAACTCTGCTGGGCTGCAAACGAGAAATTGCGACAAATCTTGTCTGATATTACTCAAAATTATCCACAAGTTTCTCGTTAACAATGTTGTAAAAATCATTTCCGAGAACTCTCAAGTGTTACGCAAATCGAATAAGTTAGTAAGAATAAATGTTATTTTACACTTCGTATTTCCGATTGCAATCTTCAAAATTTAACTTTGAAATCCATAGAACTTAGTAGAATAGAGTCATATTCATTCAATATAGATTACAGTACATAATACTCATTGAAAGTTATTTTTTACTTTTACCACTGGTTCGCAAAAAAAACCTCTGTCCTGGAAAGAACCAGCAAGAAACCCAGCGGGATTTTTATTTAAAATGCACAATTTACAATATAATATTTTATACAATTGTTATGAAAACATTTAGAAACAGCGTTGTAGCGATCATCACATTCCTAGGGGTTATAATCAGTCATGTACTTTTTAGTAGTATAATAACCCTTAGACAATTTTTAGTTAGAAAATATTTAAAACATTTTGATAGATAAGGTCTGCATATTTTCTGGGACTTTGTTGTAAATCGTATACATTACTGGGTCTTTGGAGTCGAGTAACTGGTAGTGTGTTAATAAGGTCGTGTAGTTACTTTATACTCAGAATCACCAAACCGTAATCGTTGAAGATCATACAGATTTACGCACAAACCTCTGCACATCCTGATGTGGAGGTGGAGGAAATGTATGAGGATATCTTTACAGCCATGCATTCCACCATAACTCAATCAGTTGTAAATGGGAGACTTCAACGCGAAATTACACAAGAATGAATAAAGTAGCAGCGATCACCAAATGGTAAGAAGCACACTGAACCTCGAGCTGAAATCAACGCTCCGTCCGCCTCGTGCTCTAATCCAAAGCCTTGAAAACTTTCAGCGCTAATTGTCAAATCGTTTTCAATGCCTAGAAGATTGTAATACAGTGGATGACGTAAACAACAAGCTCGTAGAAACTGTCCATGTCGTACGAGCGAAATTTTCTCCGATTACTCTTTGAATCTCATGCCTGTTTCATTTTGGTATTTTCCGTTCCATCACATGATCAATAGCTCGTATTGAAGAAGCGATCGAGTGGAATCGAGGCTTGAAAGTCTTTGCTAAAAATCTGTCTGTCGGAAAGAGCTAACTGTCGAAGTTGAAGTCCGATTGCGGTCCATTATTTTCGGGACACCTGAGCTTTTAAGTGAGGTTCTACGAACAACTGTACACACCACTGTTGGATCCACACGCAAGTGTGAGAACCGATCCAAGAGCAATTCTTATCCGACACTATTCCGACGATATCCAGGACGTCAGTCTGAGCGAGATTATAATGGTACTCCAGCATATTAAATACTTCAAGATCTCGGGCTAGATAGAATTACAGCGGAGCTCCTGAAAGCGGGTGGAAAATCAGTACTTGAAGTCCTTCAGAAGATCTTCAATCCATCCATCGTGGTTGCACTACTCCGAAGATGTGGAGTGGTCTAATTTTCAAAGAAAGGAATAAGACAAGGCTCTATTGAAGAATCGTCTCCCGCGAAGACTCTACGACTTCCAGCCTCCTGAACAAGCTGGTTTCCGAAAAGGGTTAAGTAGGTACTATAGACAGGGGCGTAGCTACCGCCGTATCAGCCGTATTAATGATACGGGGCCCTCGGGCTACAGTGGCCCCGAACGTGTGTAAGCAAAAATTCCAAGGACTTCTATGGGACAGGAAAGGCTATCACTATTGTCTATAGAAGCAAAGAATGTAGTAAAACTGAAATCGTCTTCAGCTATGAATGGCGGCGAATCGTTTTCAGCTATGTTCGCCGAACAAAAGGCAAGAAAAGTGTATATTTGATTTGAATTGTTTGGCTAGCTTAGTTCCTAGGAGTATTAATTGTAAGTAATAATTTAAAATCAATATATAATAATTTCAATTCAATTTTATGAAATCTTTACTCTTTATTGGGGCCCCCCCAACAAATTTTGATACAGGGCCCATCTAAGGCACGCTACGCCACTGACCATAGACCACATACATACCCTTCGGCAAATTGTACAGAAGACTGAGGAGTACAATCTGCCACTTTGTCTTGCGTATGTGGACTATGAGAGTCTTTAAAATATATATTGAAAATATATAGATTGAAATTTGGGCGGTATTACTCCCTTCAGTGGTGCCAAGTTGACAGTCGGTATAGCGAAGTGCTGAAGTGTTACTTCTGTAGAATAAAGAGTTCTAAGAATAGAAATTACATAACATTGTGAATAATAGCAACAGTGCATTCTAAGATTAAGAGTAAAATTTGTATAAAAGTTAAAATAAAAAATTATAAATTAGAGCTAGTTCTTCTTAATAAAGTTAATAATAAACGTCCTGCAACTATATTAGCAGTTAAACGTACAGCTAAAGTTCCTGAACGAATAATGTTACTGATAGTTTCAATTAATACTATGAATGTTAGAGTTATTTGAGGAATTATATGAATAAATATATATTGGTAAAATTACTTGTGGACACGTTTTTGGATCGATCGCCCGGGACCATGGGTATTTTTTTTATTTGGGACTACAAACTTACGTTATCCACGTCTTATAAACTTATACGTACCTACTTACTATTTATGCATAATATACCTAACATGACAATGTCCCTCAATGTCCGTGTAGTGGTGGTTTTGTAAGAATATCCACTACCCCATATCATTCCGTGGGTGTCGTAAAAGGCGAAATAGGTAAACAAATCATTAGATGGGCAGCAGCGTCTCCTTAATAACGACTAAAAATAAAAATCTGAGGTTGGCAACACGCTTGACAAGCGTGGCAACTATGGCAAATATGCCGTATAAGGCAACCTATGGAGGCCTATGTTCAGCAGTGGACTTTAACACTTACCCTGTCCGTTTTGCAGACACAATAGTAAGACAATAGCAATGGATCTATAGGTAGTGCACGGGACAGCTAATGGGTTAATAGTATGGAGTGTAGAGTAGAAGGAGAACCATCTTATAAGGTGCGAAAGTTGAAAAAGTGTCCCAATATATATTGAAAATAGAGGTTCCAAAACCTACCACAATAGCGCTGGCGTTTGAAAAACTACGATATGAATATAGCTGTTGTAGACGGAGTGAAGTCCTGAACTAAAATATTTAAAAAATTTCATGACTAGAGTAGTTAGTAAAATGCCAGTATACAAAACCTCAACTATTTACGTAGTACAAAACCAAGCGGATTGGTCGGTCCTTGTTTATTTCTCCATCTTATTCTAATAAATTTTGGCGCTTTTTTTTTAATTTATCCTATGCTACTGCAGCCAACTGAGTTACTGTACTCATTGAGAGTTTCCAACATGTATTGTAGTTCTTTGTGATCTTCAGTCAGCAGCACCAGATCGTCCGCAAATCTCAGGTGCGTCAGATACTTACCATGTAGTTTGAGTCCCCTTTTGTTCCACTCAAGATTTCTAAATATGTGTTCGAGGACGGATATAAATATTTTTGGGGACAGTGGGTCGCCCTGCCTGACCCCCCTTCTAATACTGAAGAATTGTCCAGGTGAGTCAATTTTAACTCTCGCTTTGCTATTTTTATAAATCACTTTTAATATTTCTATGTAATCGTTGTTTACTCCCTGTTCCTTTAAAGCGCGCCATATTGAATCGTGACTTATGGAATCAAAGGCCTTAGAGTAGTCTATAAAACCAATATATAATGGCATTGAAAATTCATTATATTTTTCTATTATCATTTTCAGGGTGTGTATATGGTCTACTGTGGAGTAATCTTTCCTAAAGCCGGCTTGTTCTATCGGTTGGTTTTCATCAATCTTGGGAGTTATTCTGCGTAATAGTGTACTTGCAAATACCTTGTACAAGCATGACATTAGGCTGATCGGTCTGTAGTTTGATATTTGTTTGGGATCTCCTTTTTTATATAATAGAATAATATCTGAGGATGCCCACTGTGTAGGGATTGTTTTCTCTCTCATGACCCGGTTGAATATTTCCGTTAGTGGCTTAGTGAGGGCATCTTTCCCAGCTATAATCATTTCGTTATTAATTCCGTCTGATCCTGGGCTTTTGCCTGGTTTAAGTTTCTTGATAGAGTGCTCTACTTCGTTTTCCATGAATAATGGCGCTGGGTCTTCATTAGACAAGTTTGGTGGTGTTATATTTAATGTATGGTGTTGAGTGTCATAGAGGTTTTCGTAATAACTAGTAGCTATGTATGTTATCTCCTTTCTGCTGGTTGCTAAAGCACCAGTCTTCGATTTTAAGTGACACATGAGGCTTTTTGATCTCTTTAAGCACTTGTAGGCTTTTTTGATAGCTCCTGACTCATTGATATATTTTTCCAAAGTTTGTAGCCTGTGATTTTGTTCGTTCGCTTTAATTTTATCGTTAATCTCTCTGTATAGCTTACTCAATTTGTATTTTTCTTGTTTTGTTTTCCCCTGTTTGTTAGCTAAATTGTGTCTTTGGTTGATGAGTTCTTTTATTTCCTCTGTTATTATGTTTTTCTTCTCGTTTATCTTTGGTATTTTTGCTTCTGCAACACTGTTGAGGATGCAGTTTTCGACTCTGTTGTAGTACTCTTGTAGGCTTAAGGAAGAAGAAGAGTGGGGGTTTTCACTGCAATGTGTTAATTCTTGTGTCAGAATATTGTTAAAGATCTTAGGGTCAAAGTTGGCTTGAGGTTTTTGCTTGTAGTGCTTCCGCGACTTCTTTCTACTATTCAGATTTAGCTCTGCTCTCACTATACGGTGGTCACTAGGAAATTTAAATCTGCTCAGAGTTTTTACATCCTCTATTATTTTTGGAACGTTAGTCGTAATGAAATCAATTTCATTTCGTGTGATTCCATCTGGAGATTTCCAAGTCCATCTCCTACATTGAGGTTTCTTGAACATTGTATTCAATATTTTTAGTTGGTGTTGTTGGCAGAAGTCAATGAATAGTTCTCCTCTCTCGTTTCTGTCTCCGTAGCCGTATTTTCCCAATGCCAGGCTGTCTTCTTCTGTGATTTGACCAACTTTTGCGTTCATATCCCCCATTAGTATTATGTTATTTGTGCTTTTTTCAGCAGCTTTCTGGAGACAATCGTAAAATGATTCTATATCGTGCATTTCAGCTCTTTCAGTGGGAGCGTAGGCTTCTATGATTGTGAATAGTTGTTCATTTAGTTTAACATGAATCAGGGCAACTCTTTCCGATATAGGAATGAAGTCTTGCACTTGGATATCGTTTGACTTTTTGACCAGGAAGCCTACTCCTCGTTCTCCTTTTGTTTCCCCATAGTTATATAACACATAATTTCCTTTGTCTTCTATGCTCCATCCTTGTCTTCTTACTTCAGAGATCCCAATGATGGACCATTTTATTTCTGACAAAGCGTGCTCAAGCTGTACTAGTCTCTCATTGCTAAGAAGGGATCTGACATTAAGTGTAGCTATGTAGTACTTATTGTTTTTTGAATTGTTTTTGCTTGGAGGGTTATGGTCTACTGCCCCCGCGGTGACCAGCCGTGGTGGGGGAGATGTGGGAGTTGGAGGGGGCTGTGTTTTTTGCTATAGTTTCTCTACTTCAGTTCTGGGAGTATTTTTTGGAATCTGAAACGTGTCATTCTTGTTACTGCTTTCGGAGTGTCTTGATACGAAGGGTAATATTGTCTGGGACATTTGTGTGTTATTCGTAGTAGGATTGTCATTGGGTTTCCTGCCTTGTGTGTTTTCTGCATGTTTTTTCATGAGAAATTTCTTTGTTTTTTTCGGCTGTTGGTTGGCCTTAGTTTCATCAGAGTAGGTGTCAGGTGATAGAGATAAATTCCTTTTGGTGCTTTTTCTGTTGTCATCTATAATTATGATTTTATCGTATTTCAGTATTGCTTTGTTTCCTTTATCTCTTTCTTCTTTTAGTTTAGTTTGGAGTTCTTTGCGTTTGGCTATAACCTCCTTTGGATAATCTTCCTTGATGTAGAAAGGCGTGTTTTCAAATGATCTTTTCTTCTTCAATACGTGGATTTTTTTCCCAAGTGTTGTGAATTTAATTAGTATTGGTCTGTTTTTGCTCCCAGATTTCCTTCCCAATCTTGTAACTGAGTCAATGTCGATTTCATGTAGGTTAAGACCCGTTGCACTATTTAAAGTTTCCAGAACTAGGTTTTCCAACTGATGGTAACCACGTTCAGTTTCGTTAAGATTAAACAGTATTATATTTTTCTTTCTTTCCGTTTTCTTTAGGTTGTGGAATAATGCCTCATACTGTTGTACTTTTTTCTCAAGTTGTGTGTAGCGGTTCTCAAAGGTTTGAAATTTTTCATTTATGTTTGTTGTAATACTCTCCCGGGTTAGCTGAAGTTCCTTTTTCTGTTGTTCTCGAGTTAAATGAAATTCTTGTTTTTGCAGTTCAATTGCTTCTTGGATGTTTTTTAAAGTTTTAACTATGTCTTCCATTCTTATGTGTATTAAGAATTTTATAATACAGTACAACAGCAGTGGTGGCAAAATGTCAAAAAACCTGTGTGGTCGTGGTACTGGGCACCTATTTAAAACAATAATTTACAATTAATATTTAATAGCAAAGTTTCTTTGTAGGTATGCATTAACAGAAAGGCAGTACCGTTTATGCAGTAAGTAGTAAGTATATCACACTATAGTATTTATTTTACTAGTTTACCTTTTAATTACATGCAACGGTGTGGATACAATAATAATATTTATAAATAGAGCGAACAGAATGAATCTATCAGTTACTTCACCTTTCAAATTCTGCAGAGTTAAACCCAAGTTTTAACTAGCGAAACTGTACTTGAACAATTTAAAAAAAAAGAAAAAAAAAACTTAGTTATTTGTTATTACATTAGTAGTTATTTATTTTCAGTAAGTCTAATACATTTTTTAGGTAACTTCACACTATATTGTGTTGTTCTATTTGTAGAATCTCTATGTGTTTAGTCAATTTGTACCTATATGAACTAGTAAAAAAAAACCATAATATAATACAACATTCAAAATTATAATCTCAAAATTTCATAATAAATAAATCATTAGCTGCAGCAATTATCAATCATATAAATAATAATATATAAATCAATTGTTTCCACCCTTAAGTTAACTAACTCATACAGTATTTTAATTGAGGAATTTATAATGTTAATACAATATTCAAAATTATAATCTCAGAATTTACATAGTAATTCAATGATTAGCTATAGCAATTATATTGTCAGACTATCTAATCAATTGTTCACACCCTTAAGTTAACTAACTCACACAGGATTTTAATTGAGGAATTTATAATGTAGGTTTTGTATTACAGTCCCAATTACTAGGTTTTTACTCAAGCTGTTAGTCGTCAATTGTGTTGCACTGTGTTCAATTGTGTTGCACTGTGTAAGAATTAATAAATTGTTAAATGATTATTAAATCAACTTGTGTTTATTGAACTGTCATTAACGTTCCATCATACATTTGCCATAACTACTAAAACTGTACAACATCACCTATACTGTTTGCTAAAACTAAACATATAAGTATTAATTTTGTGCATGTTAGTCTTAAGCACCTAAATTAGAAATGTACTGCTGATTGTGTATTACTTAAACAAAATGTAAAAGCGAAATGTAAAGTAAGGAAACAATAAAAGCTATTTTATTTTTTATTTTTTATTTATGCTACTGCAGCGCCACGCTTATCGGACGCGTTTTTACGGACACTTCATATACAGAGATGGTCCTCCTTCTACTCTACACTCCATAGTTAATAGGCTGAAACGGATACCTACTATATAAAAAAATTATAACATACATGTTTTAAGTGCAGCAAAGTAAAGAGTAAAATGTCTATAAGACATATTTGGAAAAAAATGATTAAAACACAATAGACAACTCCACCTGTATTTATTTACATTCATTTTATTATATAACATGTGAAATTATTGTAACATCAGTGTTGAGATTCAACAACTTAACATCAATACTCGATAAGTTTGGCGAGTGCGCTGTAACAACGCCACTTGTCAGGCAAGTAGAACGGCTCGAACACGTGTGGGAATGGAGAGTCCCACCCGGTCACTCTTGTGATGGGCGCCTCCAAATGAAGGAAGCATTCCTCCTGGAATTATAATGTAGGTAACTTTAGTACCGTAAAATGGGGTGAATAGACACAACTTTCAACTTCTACACTGTTTTTCGTACATATATTGTATATAAGCTGATAATAAAACACTTTAATGTTGTGTCTTGTTGTAGTTTATCGAATACTAATGTTTCAAACGAGTAAAAACATGTAAATTCGTTGTATTTTAGAAAAAAATAGTCCGTTTCTATGTATTGGGAATCCGGGGTTAATAGATACGGCATAGGGGTGAATAGAGAAAAAATGCTAGGGTTGTCAAATTTGCTTTTGTTGTAGTATGTAGGTTGTGAGTCAAATGAAAGAAAACATAACTACATCAAAATTGTCATTATAAAAAATAATTAGTTAATAAATCTGATATTTATACAATTCCACATTATATAAATTAAAAATATCAAAGTAATGTGATTTAACTGCTTTGCAGCGTAAGCATTTCCGACATAAAGCCATTAGATAAATAACCACTGCTTACTAAAATATTTTTTTAAGTAATGAAAATAACAAAAAAATGTTTTAAAGTTTGTTAAACTATATAACACTAATTGTAATACTACGTGTTTTGATTAATATAGTAGTAGTATCCTGATTTTACTATTTAAAAGAATAAAATCGTTCAATATCGATATTCATATTTGCATTAATAATAATAGATGAGAAACTCAACTCCCTACAAAAAAATTTGCAACAAGGAAACAACTGAATAATTTGATGTTTAACTAAAAGTTTTACACAGCATAAAACCACTTGTACTCACACGTTTATAATAATCGTCCTTTTCTTTACTGTCATCAAAATTGACACTAATTTAAAGGTTACCAAAATAAAGGGAAAATGTTGGTAAATAATAAAAAGTAGTAATAAACAGACGTTACGAACGATAACGACGTTACGTCGACGAAACATAGACGACTACATACGTGGCAGAGCCATGCTGCAGCTATATTATGGTTGTAGCACGAATGGGTCGGCTCGACCGGGGAAGGACCACACTCTCACAGAATACCAGCTTAAAATAGCAGCTTAACGCTGCTGTGTTTCGTATGGTGAGTGTAGAGAACCGGAGACCCTCTTTACTGGAAACGAGGCATTCCATCTTAGTCCTCACGGGTGACAACGCATCTGTATTTTGATTCATAATCGAAGATAGATGTAGATGTCTATACGCCACAGCAACCACTTACCATCAGGTGGACTGTGTGCTCGTTTGTCACCCTATCCTACAAAATAATACCTTCCCGAGCTGTAGACAAACCTAGAGACAACTTTATCAAATAACCGGACTTGTGTCTATTCACCCCGCGATTTCTATTCACCCCACTTTACGGTATGTATTTTCTTTGTAGAATACAAGGTTCCCCGCGACTTCGCCCGCGTGTTATTTGGGGTTTTAATTTTTTTGCGCGGAACCCTAATTCTTTTTCTAAAATAAAAGTACCCTAAGTTACTCCTTGTGACATCAGCTATCTGCCAGTGAAAATCTCGTCAAAATCGGTCCAGCCATTTCGGAGATTAGCCGGAACAAACAGACGAACAGACAAAAACTTTAAAAATTGTATTTTTGTTATTAGTACCATATATACTTTCATACGCATTTAGTAAAAAGCTGTAATTTTGGCATTACAAACAGACACTTCAATTTTATTTATTTGTATATATTATAGTGTGTGTTACCTCTTTGTACAATGTGCAATGCCAACTGTTTTTAGGAGACAATTATGAGGAGAATTAAAGAAAGTAATATTTAATCTGTTCATATAAATAAAATTGAAGTCTGTCTGTAATATCGAAATAACTGCCTTTTATTGAGCTCAGGGGGTTTTATGTGCATGATATTAACACATAAATAACCGTTTTTAAATTTTTCTGCTGACTTCCAAAAAGGAGACTGTACTCAATTCGACTGTATGTTTTTTCAACCTCATAACTTTTTACTGGGTGAACCGATTTCGATGATTCTTTTTTCATTTGAAAGCTGGTACTTCTCGTGTGGTCCCATATGAATTTGATCAAGGTCAGACCAATAGTTTTTGAGTTATTCTTAATAACTTATATTGAAGTCGGCTGTACAAAATTTTTAATTTTAAATTATTGTCGGTCTATTCGGGCTAATCTTAAGAATGGCCGAACTGATTGTAATGAATCCGAAGGCCGAAGTGCTCTAGGCTATAACTTATCCGTAGAAGTGGAAGAATTTTTAATACACGATTTTTTTACAATAAATGGTCTGATTATCTTAGAGCTAAATAACGCCAAATGAATAGATACTGCCCAGGCGAAGCTGGGGCGGACCACTAATTAATAAAATCAATTTAATTGTATTAAAGTAGGTAGACATTATTCATTATAAAACTTGAAAAAAAAAACCAATTAATTATTTATTTAAATATTTTTTCTAATTGTATACATATCTTGGTAATAACAATTTATTGCCTCTAACTTAAAAGGCAACATAAAAGAAAAAGGAAATGGCTCAGTTTGTGCTACGATGGTACCATAGTCTCAGATAGAACTGGTTTTCAGATATTTCGTTACGCTAGGATGTTGTGCAGAAGCATTTTAATGAAATTATATGATAATAATTGTGCACGACGCAAACAACGTGATACGTCGAACGAAATACATGCTTGTCGTAACCGACGCTAGTTAAACAACCTAGGGGCGGTGGGCGGGGCCATGAGGGTGTTACGATCGTCGGGCCGTGCTCACGGTTCGACAACTAGCGATGGTTGCACACAGCAACGCGAAAAAAAAACAAGCGCAGCCTTATTCAGAATGTTAAAAAAAATATAACTTTGTATTTAATGATAAAAAGAATAGTATTATAACTATGCACTAACTCTCCCAATAAAGACACCGAATGAATAGCGAGAGTTAGCATAGATTTAAAAAGTAAATTAATTATTGTATTTAGTTAATGTTAATTGTATTTGTTACGAAGAACGCATACAGAACCTTTTCAACTCGGGTTACGCAGAGCGCGCGCCCATGCCACCGCCACAAGGAAGGACATGGTATCTGCCACACTTCCCAGTCATCAACCCTGCGAAACCAAACAAGCCGCCGAGATTGGTGCACGACGCCGCAGCGAAGACAGCCGGACTATGTCTCAACGATATGCTTCACTCGAGGCCCGACTTATTACAATCATTGCCCGGAGTAATCATGAAGTTCCGACAGTATCCGTATGCAGTGAGCGCCGACATAAAAGAAATGTTCATGCAGATCAAAGTGTGCAAAGAAGATAGAGACGTTTTACGTTTCTTGTGGAGAGGCAAGCGGCGGGAGGACCAACCGGAAGAATATAGGATGACGTCAATCATCTTTGGAGCGACATCATCACGATGCACAGCATTATACTACAAAAATAAAAATGCTGAAGAACATGCAGAGGCATACCCAGAAGCTGCGGTCGCAATAAAAAGAAATCACTATATGGACGACTACTTGCAGAGCTTCCACTCTGTCACGGAAGCTCAGCAAACGGTAAAAGCAGTCGATCACGTCCACAAACAATAAAAGAAATAACGACAGAGCATAAACAACACGACGCGACCGTGAGCCTGTTGGATTTAATACTCACAATATGAAGATGCCTGCCGACGTAAAAGAAAAACAACGCTTGCCAACTAAACGTGAAGCGTTGAGCGTCATAATGGCATTATTTGACCCACTGGGATTAATATCACCGGTGACCACCCCAGCGAAGAGAATATTCCAAGACACATGGCGTTACAAGGCGGACTGGGGCGACCCTCTGCCAACAGAGTTAAAAGAAAAATGGGAAGACTGGATTACTTCACTTAACGCCATAGAACAACTGAGAATATCGCGATGCTACGATTACAACCCGGTGTCGACGCGCCAACTACACACATTCGTCGACGCAAGCGAGGAGGCCTACGCAGCAGCCGTGTATTGGAGAACGGAGCGAGCAGACGGCAGCATTAACGTATCATTGGCTGCCGCCAAGAGCCGCGTAACACCACTGAAACCAGTCTCCATACCACGGCTCGAGTTACAAGCGGCACTGCTGGGAGCTCGTCTCGCGCAGACCGTGGTCGATGAGCACGATGGCGGTATAGCGGGCAAGACATACTGGTGCGACTCTCGTACTGCACTGGTGTGGATAAAGTCGGAGCCTCGTGCGTACAAATCATTCGTCGCTCATCGCCTGGCGGAGATAGAAGATACGACCAAAAAGAACGAATGGCGTTGGCTACCGTCTAAAGAAAACGTGGCAGACGACGCGACCCGAACCACGCCGGAAAGGTTCGACGAGTCACACCGGTGGTTCCGAGGGCCCCCGTTTCTGCAACGTCCACCAGCAGAATGGCCGCAGGAAGAGAAAACGACACAATACGACACCGGGGAAGAACGAGAAGTATGTAGCATCGCAGTTAAAAGTGAAGACTCGCCAACAACACATCTGCCACAAATAGAAAGATTTTCAAAATGGATTCGCCTCATAAGGGCGACAGCGAGAGTCCTCCTATTCATCGACATGTACAGACCAAACAAGCACGTGGTGAAGGCTGGGCGTAAACGCAACAGAGCAAGACAAAATAGCGACCCTGGCTGGCAAAGAACAAACAGACACAACATCCCCGCCAAGGAGAAAAAGGCAACTCCTACTGTCTCATCGCTTGTAGGAATACCGGCCGCTTATCACGTAAGAGCCGAACAACTGTGGGTGCAAGCCAGTCAGCGGGAAAGCTTCACGAAAGAGCTCAAGAGGATCGCCAACGGAAGTGTTCCGGGAGGCGGCGATAAATTAGGCCACCTGAGCACATACGTCGATGAAGAGGGGACCCTACGCCTCAGAGGTCGAATAAAAGCAGCATCAGAAGTGGAGGAGGACACGTACGACCCTCCCATACTAGACGGGAAGCACGCATACACTCGTTTGTACATAGCACACGTACACGAGAGGTTGCATCACGGAGGCGTGGAAACAGTCGTGAACGAATTAAGACAGAGATTGTACATAAGAAAAATACGTCCAGTAGTGAAAACTGTCGTCAAAGGCTGCCTACCGTGCCGTCTAACAAAAGCCAAGCCTGCATCACCGTCTACAGGAAACCTGCCGTCCGCACGCTTCGCTCATCACGCACGTCCGTTCACATACACCGGACTGGACTACTTCGGGCCAATAGAGGTCACAGTGGGACGACATCGTGAAAAGCGCTATGGCGCGTTATTTACCTGCATGACATCACGAGCAATACATATAGAGGTAGCCCACTCGTTAAGCGCCAACTCAGCCGTGTCGGCGCTCAGGCGTTTTATGAGCAGAAGAGGATGCCTAAAAGAAATCTGGAGTGACAACGCTACGTGCTTCAAGGCAGCAGACAAGGAGCTGGCCGAAGCAGCACTCGCAGCCCTCGAACACGAAACCACATGTCGACAAATTGTGTGGAAGTACATACCACTATCAGCACCGTTCATGGGCGGCGCATGGGAGCGAATGGTTCGCTCCGTAAAAGAAGCTCTACGCGTCACCCACAATGAGCGCTATCCCAGTGACGAGACATTGGTGACCTTGCTCGCCGAGGTCGAAAACACGATTAACTCAAGACCTCACACACACGTCTCAGTCGACCCAGAAGCCATCACGCCGAATCACGTTATCATCGGTCCCAACTCGCACGTACCTGCGCCGGGACACTTCAGCGAGAGCGATGTGACGGCCCGCCAGCAGTGGAAACGAGCTCAAGCCCTAGCCAACGTGTTTTGGAGAAGATGGGTAAAATAATACCTGCCCCTACTCCAACACCGGCGGGAGCCCAGCAGCATAGGCGTATCGCCGAAGATTGGAGACCTAGTCATCATTTGTGACTCCAATCTACCACGCAACATCTGGCCCAGGGGAAAAATAAGCAACATATATCCTGGCGTCGACGGAGAGGTACGAGTAGTGGACGTAACCACTGGCAGTGGGCATGTACCGTAGTACATGAAATTATTGTAATGTCACCGGTTCTCAAACCGCATAATCTCAGATCGTTTAGATGTCGTTGAAAACAAAATAAAAATTCCACTTCATTTATAGACATTATGAAAATGTAGGTACATATATTGCATACATACATCATGCATGCAAACATCCATATACATAGATTAAGTTAAAAAAGTGTTTTAATGATAGCAGCCTTTATTTTTTTATTTTTTTCTAAATTGAATTCCCTACGAAGACCAACAAAAAAGATCGTCGTGCTACCAAAGGGATCGCAGCGTGGCGACGGCGGGAGAATGTGCACGACTCAAACAACGTGATACGTCGAACGAAATACATGCTTCTCGTAACCGACGCTAGTTGAACAACCTAGGGGCGGTGGGCGGAGCCATGAGGGTGTTACGATCGTCGGTCCGCGCTCAGAATGCAGCCTTATTCAGAATGTTAAAAAAATATAACTTTGTATTTAATGATAAAAAGAATAGTATTGTAACTATGCACTAACTCTCCCAATAAAGACACCGAATGAATAGCGAGAGTTAGCATAGATTTAAAATGTAAATTAATTATTGTAATTAGTTAATGTCAATTGTGTTTGTTCTTATATCTAACTTACCTTTCTTGTATATTAAGCCCTTAGGCACGTAAAATAAAATGTTATCAAGAGGGCATGTTATTATGACGCGGCCGCGGAGCAAATGAGGCTATGCGCACCGCGCCACGACGTTTTATATTTATAGTGCTGAGGCAGGGGGCAGGGTCCTCAGCCTAAAGTTGTCAAAAGCAAAGTTTAAACCTTTTTAATATGTAAAAAAAATTGTTGTGTACATATTAGTATAATAAGTAGTTATAAGAATATTATATATTTAATTCTGTTTGTTAGTTCGTAAGAGATATAACCCAATAAAGAAAGGCGCGGGGGTGAGGCAAGGGTCCGCTGGTCAGCAACGGCCAAACCACATAAAAGACGGGCCGGCCGGTACGCAACAGCAAAAAGAAAACAGAGCAAGAAAGATCCGTAACAATAATAAACAGATTAGAGCAGCATCTGAAATGATTCATGTATGAGTGTGTTTGTGAAATATTCGTGATATGAGGCGTTCCATTTAAGTCCACAGGAGTGACAACGCATCTGCATATGGATTCTTAATTGAGGATAAATGTAGATGTGTATGGGCCACAGTAACCACTTACCATCAGGTGGACTGCGTGCTCGTTTGTCATCCTTATTCTATAAAGAAATTTTCTGCAGTAATTTTCCTTGCAATTTCCTACCTTATACATATAAAAGGGTGACTGATGACGATTAGGTAGTAAACATCTGATTGACAGGTCAATCCGTATCAAAGATTCAGTGTACCGATAGTTTTCTAGGTGGATCTGTGCTGGTTGAACAGCTGGACCCTGGAGCTAGTGTGTTCAGTAAGCAATCACCTGTATAGTGGCAGCCAGCTCAGCACCAAATCCAGAAGTGAGTGGAGCCTCATGTGCAATGAGACAACGACCGGTCTTCTTCACAGACTGCAAACAGTAACAAAGCAAATAATTACTGTCCGGAGGTAGTCGATTGAATACACATAATTATGTAATATGTATATACTAAAAATATTAAAAATTAATTAGTTACGAATCTATTAATTAAACTCTTTGCCTGCCTCATTTTTCTAGCGGTCATCATTGCTTAACTTAAGCTTAAATAACGCCACAATAATAGATCATATTAAGGCGAGGCAGGGGCAGGTTGCTAGTCTTAATATACTCATAGACAAATATAATCTATTCGCGTATATGTAGTGGCACGAAAGTCTAGCGGTTACCGTTATTGCGCAAAAGTCGCGCTGATTGGCTCTCCAGTCGCATTCATGCAATTCAATTCGTGCGCGTCCACGTTTCGTTCAGCGCTAGACTTACGTGCCGCAACTTGTACAGAGACAGAAACCCGAACATAACTTCTTTTGAGGTAAGAACGATACTCCAAGAAGAACAAAAACTGTGAGAAAAAGACTGATGAAATCGGCCGCAATAAATTTACAATTGCCTGCCAGAGGCCCCTTCTTGTCATATGCCATCGAGTAGCTTGAGTTAATTATGCTTTTGAATCTTGGAGAAAAATTCTTCAGATGGAAGTATTAAAGTGTGGAGACGCCCGGGATTGAGGCTACGCTCAGTGCACCATCATTGGAACCATGTGGCTCATGCATATGGTGGCGGGGGGTCAGTTATGGTATGGGGCAGTATTTGTATGGGGGCACGTACGGGACTATGTGTCATTGAGAATGGGTTGCGATATGGGGAGAAAGGCAAGAAATTAAACTCACTGATGCAGTTTAACAGCTCTCCATTTATTGAATTGAAGGAGACTTATATAGTAATTATGACGTAGGTACACAGGTAGGGTTCCAGAGAGAGATACGTGAACGGTGTCGTCTTCTATAAATATAATGTGTGTGTTTCATTATACACTGCGAGCACTGCTCAGTGCTCTCACTGATGAAAAATTTGTTCCGTTATGGCCTGCCAGTGTACTGCCGCAGTACCCTAGGCAAATATATTATTTCTACATTTCATGAAGACACGTGAACTCCATATATGGAGGATATCATGTAATATTCCAGTTATATTGCTTCGTCATAGTACCTACACTACAGGGTCAGTAATAGCGGCACGGAAGAAATTGTAGTGTTTCTTAGGAAAAAGATTTGTTTTTATGCACGATAATGCACTGCCCCATACTGTAGCCGTAGTTGTCGAATACTTTTGAGACGTTGAAATCAATGCTATGGGGTGGCCAGTGCTCTCGCCCGACTGAAACCCCATAAAGCATGATAAGCTTGGAAGATAAATTAAGAAAATAAATCCTGCCCTCACTAATTTAAGGAGATCTTCGATTCTATTCGCGTAATACTTTTACATTCACAATTTATGCTAACAGTCAATCATAGGTTCACAGGTTATAAAGGTCCTGTCAGTAGTTTGATTTGGATCATTCAAAAAATATGATTGCAATCATAAATACGCGATCCGGCTCAAATGATAATCAAATTCCAATTGTTTATTGACACTCTATTTTAAAATCATCATTCAAAAATATATCCTATGTTTTTTTATGTTTTTTTAAATGCTTTAATGTTTTTTTTTTAAAACGTTACCCCCAAACTAGGGTTTTCTCCTGTGTCGTGGAGGCAGTTTACAAACATAAATTGCACAAGGACAAAAGATTCCGTGCGGGATTCGAACCCGCGGCCCCCAGCGTAACAACTGATTGCTAAGCCACTGCGCCACGGAGCCGTCGTATTGTCCAGTTGTAGGCCTTTGGTTGAGGATTTTGTTGACTCACATTGCATACAGTTTCCTCATCCCAGGGCAGCATGGACATGAGGTCGATAACGTCACACTTGACGCCCAGCTTCTCTTCTGCCATCTGTGCCACCTCCAGCAGCACGTGCAGCTGCGTTCCCCACGCGATCAGAGTCGCTGCGTCACCTGTACAATTTAGAACAAAATGAGATGAGGACCCATGGTGAATCTAAAAACTATGTATCAATAGCTAGCTTACTTTAAAAAAATTATATATATATATATATATATATATATATATATATATATATATATATATATATATATATATATATATATATATATTTTATACACATTCTATACTATATACAGTGTTCCTAAATTATCTTTCCATTTGATTTTTCTTTGCGGATGATGTATTGACGAAAATAACCACCCAGGAGGATGGAACAGTGTGTGGAATGTTGGATATAGACCAAATCGGTCACTTGGATTCAGGGGAACACAGATCCTACAGACAGAACTACAGATCCCCCCCCCCCTCTCCTATTACGCCAGACCGTCCGGCTTTAGTCAAGGTTCAAGAAAGAACTTAGAGGAGAGACATTTGTTGGAAGTTATTGTATTAGCGTTACCAACCATCCTGTACTTTTACCCGTATCCTTATGATGATGCCATAATATGATACAACTTGCCGAAAGTATTGCATCTAAAAAAACGAATTGTCGAGTGTAATGTGAAATTGTCTTTACAGTTATAAATTGTGTTAAAGTCATATACCATAAAGGATGGATCTATTCTGGGTTTGTCTTCTACTTCTTAATGGTGTGTCTATCTACTGCTGAGCATAGGTCTTCCCCGTAGATTTTATACGTGGTAGAGACATGTTGCAGCTATATTAATAGTATAGCACGAATGGGTCGGCTCGACTGGGGAAGGACCACGCTCTCACAGAATACCAGCGTAAAATAGCAGCACGCTGCTGTATTTCATATGGTGAGTGTAGAGAAACGGAGACGCTTTTTACTGGCAAAGAGGCATTCCATCTTAGTCCTCGCGGCTGACAACGCATCTGCATTTTAATTCGCAAACGAAGATAGATGTAGATGTCTATGGGCCACAGCAACCACTTACCATCAGGTGGAACTATGTGGTCGTTTGTCACCCTTATTCTGTAAAAAAAAATGGATTCCTGATAGGGGGGATTTTGCTATAGTTGCCACGCCTGTCAAGCGGGTTGGCAGCTGCACCGTTTTCATTATTTTGAGTAGTTATTAGGAAGATGCTGCTGCCCATCACCCGTTTCAATTCCCCTCTGTCGCCTATTACGACACCCACGGGATGATATGGGGTAGTTGATATTCTTAACCACTACAACACGGTTAATGCCGTGTACCTGCCGTAATATTGATCTTAAAAGTATAAAGGTTAAATGAGTGTATCAGTTCATAAGTAAAGTAATAAAGAGTAACATTTAATGACTGAGTTTAATGTAATTCAATAAAAAAAACTTATTTATATAAAAATGTTTTATACCCTCTCTTAAGACCTGTGCTTTTCCTAATGGTAATGTGTAGTCCTCCACTGGGACTTCCTCCGCAGCTGAGCGGTAGAGAATTTTAGGCTCCAGGAATATGCAGGGGTCTCGCTCCCTGATGCAGGACAACAGAAGGCCTTTAGCGGTTATAGGACCTCTGGGCATGACCACCTTAAAAAGTGATATTGTAGTCAAATTAAATAATTTATAAAAATACAAAATTAAAATATTGTTACGAGCTTGGGGTTCGAGACAATTAAAAACTGCCGATTGAATTACCAAAATTGACACTTTAATTACACAACACTAATTACAATCTAAAACCAGACTAATAATAAAACACAATCACTTTAGTTCGCAGTTATTTCGCTTCGAAGTATTCTCTTGTATCGCCAATTCAATACTGCCCCGGTCGTGGTCTATACCGGCCTTATATAGGGCCTCAGATAGTTTCCAGAACCTTCTACTGTAGCGACATCTAGAATGTTCGAGTATATATCGGTCCCGAAATTTCTGGAAGGATCTCGACTCTCCTAGTTCTGCTACTCGACACTAGAGGGCGCTAGTGTAACTAGTGTTGCCATTTACAAGACATTAATAGTGGCGCGCAACAATATAAAACCATGAAGTAAAGTAAGCAACGTAACACCCTACATACGTCCCACTGATGGGAGTAGGAACCCTCTAATTTTTAAGAGTGCAAAACCGGTGAAAATGGTGATTCTTAATTTTTTAACCGGCTTCAAAAAGTAGGAGGTACTCAATTCGACTAATTTTTTTATGTGTGTTACCTCATAACGTTTTTCTTGGTGATCCGATTTGATGATTTTTTTTTAATTTGATTATGGTCCCATATAAATTTGATTAAGGTATGACCAATAGTATTTTGACTTATCCTTAATAATTTATATTGAAGTCGGTTGTACATTTTTAATTTTATCACTTTGTTTAAATTATTTTTACACTATTGTGAAGGCGATTTCTTTACATAAATTCTTTTTAGTTTATTGAAGTTTACTTTCAATATTTATAAAAAGTTATTTTTTCAGACATACAGGTTTCCTCACAATGTTTTCATTCCCTGCAGAGCATGTGGCATATCAGTCCTTAAAATCAAAATTAAGAATTTCATTTGATTCGGCAGGGATCGAACTAGGTTTAAAACTGCTATTCCCTCACTCTTATAGTACGATGGGACGGTAATCCGACATGATCAGAGAGAGATCAGGCGCAGGACCAATGACTTTACTTGCTTTGCCAACTTCCTGACTCCAGGCTGCCACTGAGAATTTCTTGAAAAACAAACTCAATACATTTTCGATATTCGTTCTTCTGGCATACAAACCTGGGACCACATGCTGAGCAGTCGTATTTACCGACGACTAGGCCAACGAGGCTGCCAACTCTCTATATACATGTAGCAGCGCAATGGTTTAATTAGGTGGTTACTTGGACGGTTAGAACGTTAATAAACGTGTGGCGGCGCTGTCGTCGCGCCACAAGCGAAACACAAACACACAGGAACCTAAATCGCACTAACAAAGTTCCGAAGTTAAAGCAGTATATATAGAGCAGCTCCGAACTACCACTTGCCCTCGCCCCCTTTTTCAAAAGAGGGTCGTTTCCGATCCGGCAGAAAGGAGAAAGGCCTCATAAGCCAATGCCAGTCTCACAGGTGGTGTTTAGTGGGTAGGCACTTAGGTTAGGTTAGGTTAGTCGCAGTGAGTCCCACATAACCACGGCAGCCGGCTGTCGTGGTATGCTTAGAGCATTCACCACCTCACTCCTCGCATTCCGGGGGTAGCCCTTTTCAATTGCTTCTGGGCGCAAAAACAAAAACCACCACTCGGCTCCCCGGGCAGAACACCTTGCCTGGCGGGAGATCTCCACTTTTCCTTCCACCGGCTAAAACGCCACTATTAAACAAAATTAAACGTCATTGGATGTGTGGTGGTGGCTTGAGAGAATCCTTCACTAATTTCGTACCGTCAGTGTCGTGAGAGACGACTGGATATGCCAGAAACAAACACTTCTATATATACTAAGTAGTGCACATCTCTATCTATATATAATCTATGGCCAGAAAGATCTAACTTACAATAAATGTTGGCATATAATTTCGTTATCGATATATTTCAACAGATTGGTAACCTGAAGTGGATGTGCCAGCCATATAGCTCGAAGAACGGAAAACCGTCGGGGAAGACAAGTTTTTGAGTGACAGACTAGTAAGCAAAGTGTAATGTAGGCGGCCTCAGTGTTAAATTTGTCAGTGGTAAAATAAAAAAGTAAGAATTACATGTGATCTATATTGAATAAAAATTGTTCTATTCTATCCTTGAAAGTGAAAGAATTAAAATTGTGTAAAACAAATTACAAAGTATAGCACTGAGCTATTATTTTGCCTATATATACATACACTAAAAACTGAAAACCTTACAAAAAAATCGCAACTTTTCAATGATGATGGACACCGTGTGACCATCTGCGAGACAAATCAGTTCACCTTAGTCCCAACTAACGATATCTGCTGAGCGTAAGATTATTAGCTCTCATGGCTTGTTGTTTGTAGAATAGAATAGAATCATTTTTATTTAATATTACAAGAGCACTTATTGAAAGTCATTTAAGCTTTATCACTGGTAATCCAAGAAACCCAGCACAACTAATTAAAAAATATATTTACTATATAATATTTTACACAATTAAGTATAGAAATATTTAGAAACAACGTGGTAGCGATCAACTCATTCCCAGCATGGCTAGCATGGGCGTGGGACAAAAAATTTTACCTCCGATTATATCCACTGACAAGAGATAAAATTATAAAATTGTCTAGTCTTTATGCCAAAGCTTGGCAACGGGGGGAAATATATCCCCGTTTGACATAACGAGTAGACATATATCCACCGTCCATAGCATGAATCCAAATGAAAGATAAAAAATTATGATTGTTTGACATTTGAAAGGGACAATTTTATCCTAGTTCATTGGACATGGGTTTAAGTTTATATTCATATTAAACATCTATCTAAGTGTTACTCCTATTTTATCTACTGTGGATATTATTTCCACCGGTATGACATGCTCGAAGGGTGGATAAAACTAAGTGAGGGGATAAACATTTTCTCCATTCCTCGGGGATAAAATTGTCTCCTGCCCATGCTAGCCCTGCAGGGGTTATAATCAACGTAGGGGTGTAATAAATGAAAGGTGGAGGGCAGCTTACCCGTAGTCCAGGCGTATGTGCAAAGTAGGCCTCGGGGCTCTGCGAGTGGTACAGGCCGCCGTGGCCCACGGCGCCGCACGGGGTGCGAACTGTGAGAGCGCCCGAGTCGAATTGACCACCCGAACGGTACCGCGCCTTTGCTGCTTCGTTCACTAACTGTAACGCGACAATCTATATTCAACAGTGGACTTTTGATAGGCTGTATGAAATTAATAAATGAACAAGTAAACAGTATTTTATTGTATTACAGTAGTGTAATGTGAACAGAGTATTTTTAACCGGAAATGCCAGAAGCATCTTAAAAACATTAAAAATAAAACATATAAAGTCAGTTAAACAAGTTGACGGCTCCGTGGCGCAGTGGCTTAGCAATAAGTTGCAACACTGGGGGCCGCGGGTTCGAATCCCGCACGGAACAAGTATTTGTATGACCTACAAATAATTGTTCCGGGTCTGGATGTTTGTCCTTGTGAAATTTATGTATGTAAACTGCCCCCACGATACAGGAGAAAATCCTAGTGTGGAGGCAACGTTTTTAAAAAAAAAAGTTATAATCTTCTATAGATTGTGTATATTATTTGAAAATGAAGAAAACAATGAAATGAGAACAAAAAAATGTAACGCGAAAATACTCGTAAGTGTAATCGCTTAGTTTTTCCCCTTACAAAACTATAACTTAAATCACTCCTGGCATTCTATCGGTTCGTGAAGTTGCATATCAATAGATTCAGCTACTCTGAAGATTAGCCTGGACTGACAGACAAACGGACAAAAATGTTATCCCACTTCAGCAAGTATCTTAAAAATATAAAGTCGATATTTACTACAAACTTGCGAGTAATATTGATTTTGCAATAAATCACTACAGAACTCAAGGTTCCTGCCATCTATTAAATTAATAACTTAACAATAAATTACTTCATATAATATAATGAAATGACCTCAATTTAAATTTAAAATAAAAATTTAAATGTAATGACACTCATTTATAACACCATCATAATATTACTAAGGAATTGCAGTTACTACATTTAAAATATTGTATTTTTATTATTAATATAATGTCTAAGCAGTTTAGCTATGTATGAATGTATCTTGCAGAACTTTAAACAAAAATATTTTTAGTGTTTTCAGCAGACTGATAGAATTAAATAGTAATGGAATCTGCTGTTTTTCTGCCTCTAACAGATTTTTTTTGTAAATGTTTTTTTTTTTTTATAGGATAAGGGTGACAAACGAGCACACAGTCGACCTGATGGTAAGTGGTTGCTGCGGCATATAGACATCTACATCTATCCTCTATTACAAATCAAAACGCAGATGTGTTGTCACCCGTGAGGACTAAGATGGGATGGCCTCATTTCCAGTAAAAAGGGTCTCCGGTTCTCTACACTCACCATACCAAACACAGCAGCATTGAGCTGCTATTTTACGCTGGTATTCTGTGAGACCATTATTATAAAATTTTGATACCGCTGCTAAATTTAGGCCTCACCAAAGAGTAATCTTTTTCATAGTTGCCACGCAAGCGGTTACCAGTTTTTAACCCCCGACGAAAAAGGGGGGTGTTATATGTTTAACATGTGTATCTGTGTGTCTGTCTGTGGCCTGGTAGTTCCCAAATGGACGAACCGATTTAAATTTAGTTCTTTTTTTGTTTGAAAGGTGAATTGATCTCGAGTGTTCTTAGCTAAGATTCAAGAATTTTTTTTCAGCCATTTGAAGATCATCAGCTCCTTTTATTTCGGGGGTTTTTAAAATTCTGAAATTTAAGTTATTATTTTTGAGTTGATGCTGCCCATCTCCTGGTTTGTTCCATCTGTCCCCTCTGTGTTATAATTATAATATCCACTACCCCATACAGTCCCGTAGGTGCCGTAAGAGGCGACAGAGGGTAACGAATTAGGAGATGAGCAGCTGTATCATTCTAATAAAAACTAGAAAATAAAAAAAATGTGTTATGACAAGTATCCACCTTATAAGGCAATCTATGGGAACCTTTGTTCAGCAATGGACTTTAGATAGGTTGCAATAGTTGAATGATGGGGCATTGAACCTGGGTAGCTAGCATAATATGAAAACTGAATTTCCTTGCGCTACCACTTATTATCATATAGAAACATGTAAGCAAAGTTTCATTACCTGATCAAAAGCTGGGAATATGTAATCAGCAAATTGTATTTCAGCTATAGCTGTAGCTCCTGCAGTTGCAAGTCCAATACCAAAACCAGCTATGCCTTGCTCACACAGAGGTGTGTTGAAAACTCTATCCTTACCGTATTTGTCCTGTAAATTAGATTCAGAATAAATTAATTCATGGAATAATAATTATGATGTTAAATAAATGTTTATATGAGGGGTGATCCAAAAGTAATGATAATCGGTTACTTCAGGTCCGCATAAAAATCCAAAAAAAATATTTTTTGCTTGCTTATATACTCACTATGTCAGCCTAAAAAAATCATATAAATAGATCACGATTTCCGGGAGATACATTCATTTGAATACGAACTGTCAAAGAGATAACATCAACATGGAGAAAAACGAAATTAGAGCTGTCATCAAGTACCTCTGTTTGAAAAAAATGTCTTCAAAAGACATACACAGTGACTTAGTGGAAACATTTTTTGAATTATCCTTAATAATATATAATGAAGTTGGTTGTACAAAAATTTTAATTTTACAACTTGTTTTATGTATGTTTAGCGATAATTCTTTACCCTGTATATAACAAGGAATTTTTAAACAATATTAAACACTAACTATAAATTTTTGTTATTAAGGTTTAATATTTACACATAAGCAAAAATTCTTACTGTGTAAAGGTGGCGTAAGAATATCGACTACCCCATATCATCCCATGGGTGTCTTAAGAGGCGACAGAGGAAAACAAATTAGGAGATGGGCGGTAGCATCTTCCTTATATAAAAAAACTGTGGTTGCCAACCCGCTTGCCAATCGTGGCAACTATGGCAAATATCCTTTCTATGAGGCAATCTATGGGGCTAATAAGTCTTTAATAGACAGTAATGATAACAGTAAGCAAAAACTCAGATATTTACAGTTTGACATTAAAAAATCTTTCAATGAACATAATGCTAACCTGTAAACCCAAAGCACATCTAAAGACTCCACCAAATGCAACATCTTCACCAAATAACACAGCCGTCGGGTCATCTCTCAGTGTGATGTCCATTGCATTGTTTATTGCTTGCATCATGTTCATTTTTGTGGTTTCACCTGTTTTACATAATTATTATGATTTTTTTTCTTATGAATTAATAAACACTAGTTGAAAAGCTTTTACTTTTTTTTTTTAAATTGACCATGTCAAACAAACTATTATATGTGGTAGGGCCATGCAGCTATATTATAGTTGTAACATGAATAGGTTGGCTCAAATGGGGAAACGGGACACTGTTACAAAGCTTAATGCAGTGTGGTGGTTATATAGTTAGTATAGAGAACTGGAGCCTCTTTTTACTAGAAACAAGGCATTCCATCATAGTCATCATTGGTTGAAAAATGATATCCCTTACATCTTTCAAACTAATGACCTAAAATTTGTAGAGTAAAAAGGGTCCCTACATTCACCATACAAGACACAGCAGTAGTTATATTGGTATTCTCAAAGTGTTCTGTCCAACTCCCCAGTCCTAAAGACATTGAGTAATTTAAAGTTACTTCCAACACTAGGTAGTTCCAATTGACACAAACTAATTAACTAAAAGTCTATATTGCAGTCACAAGCTATGGTAAATTTGACCCTTTAGTTTCCATCAATGATTATTTAAAAAGGTAATAAAGTATATAAATTAAACGAGTCTATTCCTATTTAGATTTTGCACACCTGTGAAACAAATTCTTGATTTATTTATCACATATTCTGAAATCTGAATGGTAAGAATCACAAGCAGTTTATGAAGTACTCAAAGTTAAACGAAATAATGTTAATATATTATTAAACTTACCAGCCACCGGTTTTTCATTATCAGGATAATAAATAAAGTGAGAGGAGAGTCTTTTTGTGTAGTCGTTCACATATTTTGTTAATTTTCCAACAATAATACATTTCCGTGTTAACAAACTAGCCATTTTCGAATGTGACGATAGACGACCCACAGAACACTAATACCCTGAGACGACCTCAAGTCGTGTGAGTCGCGTGTTGAATGAATTAAACAAACCATCTTATCTGTAATTCTAATTACTTCTGATAAAAAACCTGATAACTTATGATGAAAGAAAATCAGTTTTTTTCTTTAATAAACTTTTATCCATAAAAGTCATAAAAGTAAAATAGTTTTCAAGAATATTTTTGATACATATTATATTATAAATCAATTTATAAATTATAAAAATAAAATTTAAATAAATTACTATGATTTCTATTTACATAATACGACCTTGACCTTTAACCTATATTACTTTTGTTGTTCTTGTTACGGTTCACCATTTAAGGCAGGCAAAGTTTTTAGACCATACAGGGTAGTCTGATTTGTATTTTGTTCTCAAAACTTTAAATGATGGCTAATCATTTTCTGCTCATCAGATGTCGCTAGTTGACACTGTGGTAAAGTTTTTTGTTACACAGTGTAATTTAAATGAAAAGTTGTTTTTTTAATAAAAGTTTATCAGTTTCTAGAGTATTATATACGTATACGCTATTACAACAAGGTCCCGGAAAGTGTACAGGCTCTCTCTGTTACCAAGGTTAAATGTTTTGTTGAGCTGAAACTGTATAAAAAGGGTTATTATAGTATAAATGAATACATGGTTGATAATAAACCCTTGAAAGCGACCACCTCATTGGTCGCTTCCAAGCAGTTTCTAAAATAAATTTTGTAAATAGGTATTAATAATCATTTATATTGTAGAATTTATTTTTAAAAAAAGTACCACTGGGTTTCTTGCTGGTTCTTCCCAGGACAGAGGGTTTTTTTCGAACCAGTGGTAAAGTAAAAAATGACATTCAATAAGAATTACACATGTAATGTATATTTAATAAAAAATATTCTGTTATATTCTATTCTATTCTATTCTATTAATACACAAAACAATAGGTCAGTGTCAACTCTTTAATTTTTTGCACATTATTCATTTTTTTAATTTTTCTACTTTTATGAATATCTGTGGTTTGGTTTATTTATTTTTAATGTTAGTAGTATAAAATATAGCTAATATTACAACAAGAAACAATAATCAGTAAAGGATCAATTATTGAGTCTGTCAAGAAAATCCCAGTAACTGCCCGGAGTCAGAAATTTGACGATCTCTCACCCCGGTGTCTCTGAAACCACGTAAAGCCGTTGGTCCTGCGCCTCATTTCGCTCCAGTCGTGTCGGTTTACCGTCCCATAGGAATATGAGAGTGAGGGAACAGAGAGTGCGCAGATGGCTAGCCTCCGTTAAGGCTTACCGCCGTATCCGAAGCTCGGGTCTGGAGATGGAGGATAATGTTTCATCGTAATCGATTGAATTTTATCTGACATCACATTTGTCATTACTCTGCGACGGGCAGCAGCTCCAAAAATGTAAGACATTTGGTTCTGTTACCGTGTAGTGGCGGTGTAAGAATATCGACTACCTCATATCACCCCGTGGGTGTCGTAAGAGGCGACAGAGGGAAACAAATCAGGGGATGGGCAGCAGCGTCTTCCTAATAACGAATAAAATAACTGCGGTTGCCAACACGCTTGCCTTGGCAACTATGGCAAATGTCTATGTTCAGTTGTGGACTTTTATAGGCTGTAACGGTAGCGGTATCTGGTACTGCAATTGTCAATTTGGTTTGCGATGTTTGACGATTAAGGTTACTTCATTACAACAGGAGAGGCCCATGTCCAGCTTTGGACTGTTATCAGCTGATAAAGAAGCAGATAACAATTCTATCGTGTGAAAAATTTGCTAGACATAAATGTTCAGGCGCTGAAAAAATGTATGAGATACGAGCAAAAAATAATATCAAAAACTAATTATGAAGAAATTTGTGTCATGTATATTTACATAAAGTTGATTTTTTTCATATATTAAAATTTTTGATATTGCTATAGTTTTGTCCAGCCTCCTGTTGGAACAAGACAGTTAGCTGATATCAGCATTGTCTAATACTGGAAAGAGAATAGACATAACAAACATAATTTTGGTAGCAGTGGAAAAATAGCTACAGAGCCACCGAAAAGGCAAAAATTTTGTTATTAATTCCTACAGTGTAGCGACTTTATAGAGGCAATGAAAGAGAATCCACTAGCCATATCAAAAGGGAAATGTAACAGGAGATTTGCAACAGCATTTTCCTGTCATCAACTCAAAGTGTAATGAATGAATGACTAAATATAAAAAAAAAAATGTTTTCAGTATTCAGTATGGCCCTGTGACCGATTTTTATCTTTATAGGATACTAGCGATGCGCCCCGGCTTCGCACGGTTGATTTCAGGATCTCAACAATAACACTACCGACCGGGTTCAATTGCGAATCTAAACCATTCTCTAATCAACTTAATCACACACAAAATTCCATCAAAATTGGTCTAGACGTTTAGGAGGAGTTCAGTCACATACATACGAACAGAATAATTATATAACTAATATATAATATGCACATATAAACCTTCCTCTTAAATTATTCTATCTAATGATGAAAACTGTATCAAAATCCGTTGCGTAGCTTTAAGGATCTAAGCGTACAGACGGCAAGAAGTGACTTTGTTTTATGGTTATACTAGCTGGCCAGGCAGACGTTGTTCTACCCTTTCCGAGGACCATTTGCTTTCCTAAAAAAAAACTCCTGAGATTAGCAATAAAAAAAATTAGGACCACTTATCGGGATAAAAACTATCCTATCTCTAAAGTTGGACCAAACTGCACATAGTGTGCAAAATTTTATTGAAATCAGTTCAGTAGTTTAGGAGTTCACCGCGGACAAACTATAAAAAATAATTTTTATATATAAGGATAATATATTCTTTTATCTATACATAACCTGATTTTTCACAGTAATACTAAAAGGGATAATGTTACCATCAACCATTGTTTGGGGTAGTTATTCATAGCGAGACTTTCTTCATTCGCGAACTACTGTTAAAACTTTTACTTACTATTTATAAAAAAAAATACTAGCAATGCTATTAATTTTACTAATATTCCCTTTAATGACTCCTGGTAAGCTGAAAATGCTTGTGTTCGGAGTGGTTCACGACAGTAATGGAATTATGGATTCGAACCCACAACCTGTTGAGTTCGCGGTCCGCACTTTGCTATTAGGCTACTGTCGCGTCATATTTAAACTTTAAACTAATTGTAAGCTACGTTTAAACAGGCTTAACTATAATAGGTAGGCATTATGTAATCTGAAAATACTGTTTTTAGTAACGTACGTTTTGCTAAGTAGACGCAATAATTGACACACGTGTGACCTACTAATATGCGAAAGAAGTGATTATTTAGCATTTTAGAGTACGTTATTAATAACTTAAATGTCAAGCCTAATCAATTGAAAGATTACGTTATCAATTGATTTTAATTTCTGTTGGTGTTATGATAGTTAATTATGTTCATATGCAATTTGAACCTATCAAGATAGGTTCAAATTGGGTCAGGACACAGACATACAAACAGAAATACAGACTTTTTTATTCAATATAGATTATAAATAATACTTATTGATTGTTCTTTTTCTTATTTTGTATTTATTTCTTCTTCTGGGTTGTCTGGAAGAGATTGCTATGTAGCAATAAGACCGCCCTTTGTATTTCCCTCAATAGTTGTTATTTTTTATTTTTGATGTTGTTATCTTTTCTTGGTGTACAATAAAGAGTATTGTATTGTATTGTATTGATTATTGAAAGTCACTCTTTCCTTTAATTTACCACTGCTTCGGAATAAAAAACTCTGTCGTAGGAGGAACCAGTAAGAAGCATATAGGGACTTTAAAAAAAAAATAACAGCTTACAATCATAACATTACTTATGTTACACAATTAAGAACACAAAACAAATTAGAACTAGCTTGGTGGTGATCACCTCACTCCCAGGGGTTATTATCTATACAAATAAATAAAATTGAAGTGTCTGTTTGTAATGTCAAAATTACAGCTTTTTACTAATTGCATATGAAAGTATATACGGTACTTATAACAAAAACACCATTTTTAAAATTTTTGTCTGTCTGTCTGCTTGTTCCGGCTAATCTCCGAAACGGCTGGACCGGTACTTTGACGGGACTTTCACTGGCAGGTAGCTGATTTCATAAGGAGTAACTTACGCTACTTTTATTTTAGAAAAAGAATTAGGGTTCCGCGTAAAAACATAAAAACCCTAACACGCGAGCGATTTTGCGGGGAACAGCTAGTCATCCATAAATTCCTTAATGTAACCCTTTTTATACAAACTTAGTTTGATAAAGTTTTTGAACTTTGAGCAGGTCAAATTTTGTATGATTTTGTAGTAAAAGCGTATACATCGCCCCAAGAATGAATTACTGACTCGGTGGAGCCGAGTAACTGGTATCTACTACTAGGTTGTGACTGTTCCTAGTATTTACCCGTCATACACGCCCTGACCTTTTTAATTTTTATCAGGCTGCCAGTGCCCAGTAACTCAGTAGGGTTATATATTTGGTGGTTTTATGTATGATGTATGTTTGTATGAATGTAGGTATATATGCTCCTTTTTATGGTATGATAAATAAAATTCGCCGAAATAATAATAAAAGGTCCAATTTCGCCGAAATATAAGAAAAGCAAAAGTAAGAGCATTCTAACTGGAGGAGTCAACTGGCAAATATCCCTCCCTCCATGTGGCATACTATGGGCCTCCGCTACATGTTCAGCAACGGACTAATGATAGGCTAAAAAAATGTTAAATATATATGAGATTTGCCATTGAAAATTAAATTTTATAGTGTAATGTGCTCTGTCAATAACTTTCACAAAGGAGGCGCACTATCGTATATAGGATAAAATAAAGCCTGGGTATCTCATGAGTTTAATGTTCGACGTAAAATTAACAGTAGGTACGCGAGCAGCCCGGGTTAGATCCTCTACTGCACCACTCAAATAGCTTCTTGCCATTTTAAGTGCTAATTTACCACGTTCT